AATGTTAGCGCGGGTAGGTTTCGTTTGCCGGTGGGGGACTGGGTGCTTTAGGCTAGCGCAGATTGGTTCCGCATGTGGGTTGGAGGCTGGGTGCTTAATATTAGATCAGATAGGTTACGTTTGCGGGTAGAGGACTGGGTGCTTAATGTTAGCTCAGATAGGTTCCGTATATGGCAACGTGATTTTCCTATGTCAGTAGTGTAGTGCAGGATGGTGGACCTGGAAAGGAACAAACAACCGAGGTCCATGTACATGACATTCACGTAAAACAAGCACTGATAGTTGAAATTCGATGAAAATAAAATATGATTTAACGTCCTACTGGTCTGCTGCTCTGTTCCGATTCGGCTAATGAAGCCAGGTATACGCCATGTAGTCGAGCTGAAAAGTCTTCAAGCAGTGTGTTACGAGAGAAATTTGCCGTGTTGGCTGGGTTTATGAAGACGGGTATGCGCCATACAGTATGCTTTGATGTAACTTTCGCCCGGGCAGCGGCGCTACTCCCTACATATATATATCTCATTCCTTCTGTACCCAAGTGCATATAAACATATAGACTATTTTAATCCTGCGGTTACCGATTACGTGTAATTTATCTCATAAAAAGTTCCTCGTACGTAAACAAAACATTTCTCACAGTCGTGCAACATTCCGTATAAAACCTGATATTTAAGGATTTAGAAACTTTTACTAATTTCAATAGTAAAAAATGAAAGCTTAACATTTGATGCTAAATGCTAATCTTTTAAGGTTTTAATCTTTAGCTCACCATCGTTTTCACACTTTAGGTTAAACCAGTTGTTTACTAGGATATAGCAAATGTCATAATTTAACCGCATTTTAAAATACAAAACCTGTTATGCAAGCTTCTCATTTGTATGGGAGATAGAGGGAGTTTAACGTCCATTTGACACAAACTAGGTCATTTCGGGCCTAACATATAGTTTTAATTTTATTCAATAATTCGCTTGCGCGTAGGGGTCTTTAGCAGTTGGAGGAAACCGGAGAAAACCCACGAGGTTGGACAGACGACCCTACTCCTTGTCAAGTACAACCGGGGAATCGAAACCATGCCAGTTGACTCAATGACAGACTTTATGATACAGCGCGCACACGCTAACCATTCAGCCATCTAACCCCCCTCATTTGTAAGGGGAAACGCATCAGAGTTTCCTAGAACGAGTAAACAAAATGAAATGTGGTTTTACATCATACTTTTCTGCTCCGACAGGGCTGATGGGGGGAATGCTGCCCTGGCAGTGGCGCTATGCCCTACTCTTAAATCGAAACCCAACCCGTTAAGGGTTCTTTTACGGGTACGTCAATGTGTACACGGGAGTTCGACTTTTTGTCCCGTCCGAACGACTATACGTTGTTCCTTGCCAGACCATCCGTCCCGCACCACTGACAAGAGGGATCGACGCCGGAAAATTCCGATGGCACCGAGATCTAACCCAGGACCTCCAGGATAGCGAGCCAACGTCTTGCTCACTGAGCCACCGCGGCTCCCAGAAAGAGTAAACACATCCTGCCCTGTGGACCATACCCGTCATTACTTCATATCTAACACAAGATTTCGGTCATTTTGAGACCAACATTGTAATTTTCATTTATATGGTTACGTTTGAAATATGAGAGGGTGGGTGCTATGGTTACGCGTGCAATATCTGTCCTTGGAGCGGTGTTTCTTTTTACTCCTCATCGAATTTTAAGAATTCTGGATTAGAGACGGGTGTCGTGTATGGTGTCTGGGTATGCTTACTCTTTTTAGAAATGAAAATGAAATGAAATGAAATGGGGTTTAACGTCCTACTGTTCTGCTCCTATACTGGGCTAATGAAGACGGGCATACGCCATACAGTGTGCTATGAGGGAAATTTTGCCCGGGCAGCGGCACTATCGCCTACTCTTATATCGAATTCCAACTGCCAAGGGATCTTTTACGTGCATTCCAATGTATACACGGGACCTCGGTTTTTCGTCTCATCCAAAGGACTAGACAGCTGTCCGTGTCAGGTCCTCCGGTCTGCACCACTGACAAGGGGAAACCACGTCGGAAAATCCAGATGAACTTTCTCCGCCAATGCAGGGATCGAACACCCGACCTCCAGGCTAGCGAGCCAGCGTCTTAACCAACCAGCCACCGTGGCTCCCCTCTTTTTAGAACAATGATAAGACATCCGAGAAGTTCACATATCTAACATATTTCTGTTGTCCTTTTCCACAGATATGACCATTATTATTCAAATCTTTCATTCTTACTTTGGTTTTGCCAAATAAACGCTTTGGGATTTAATTTATCAGAACACCTTTCATTCAAGAAGTTAATAATAACAGCCAAAAATAAACGACTAATAATAAAACGAATCGCTACCCGCAAACAAAACCAAACAAATTTAAATAATAAAAAGAAAAACACAATAATAAAGCTACATTTTAAAAATGGATAAAAATATAAATGGTTTTTAAACACTCACCCACTAATAAAACTACAAATATCCAAATAAAATTATTCATCTTGAAATGTTGTTATGGCAACTAGAAAAATTACACTGATTCACTGATAGGTGATCATCTAATTTAAATAAAATAAAAGGAATGTGAAAAACTTGGAGAAGTGGTAGCATTTCCGCCATTTTTAAGCAGGTGTACGAGATGACTTCAGTCTCGTGTCAGTTTTAATACCTGGGGTAAGGGTCACAGTATAACAAGAGGAAGAAACCATTTATATTAATTTCGATGATATTTCGGATGTAAATATACATGGGTTTTTTTTACTTGTATATTTATCATTAATGTGTGAGATATGATGAGACTTATATTAAGTACAAATGGATTAAAAACAAGTTTGATACAGCTTCCATATTCTATTTTATAACATAGATTCTCTGGTAACCCCATGGCGCGCGTGCGGGAGAGAGAGAGGGTGAGAGAGAGAGTTTAACGTCCACTCAACACAAACTAGGTCATTTCGGTACTAACACATGGTTCAATTTTATTTCAATAATTCGCTTGCGCGTAAGGGTCTTTAGCAGTGGGAGGAAACCGAAGGACCCGGAGAAAACCCACGTACTGCTTGTCACGTACAGCCAGGGAATCGAAACCCCGCCAGTTGACTCAATGATACAGCGCGCACGTGCTAACCATTCGGCCATCCAACCAGTCACACAACGCTAAAGACCTCTCACAAGTTCAAATTGGTTAAGAACAAGTTTGATAAACTTCCATGTTATCCTTAAAAAAATAGATTCTCTGGTTCCCCCTAGACAAATATATTGTACAACATTGTAGCCTCGAAATGATCTCGAAATGGTCCCCCGGTTTCCTCCCACTACTTAAGACCCCTACGCGGAAGAAATGAAATTGAACAATATATTAGTCCCGAAATGACATAGAATGTGTCAAGTGGACACCTACGTGCAAGTGAATCATTGAAATAAAATTGAATCATATGTTAGTCCCGAAATGATCTATTTTTTGTCGAGTGGACGTTAAACCACATCTCTCTCTCTCTTATATTGTTAATAGTCAGTGTCCGCTAAAATCTTATATTGTACAAATTTTATTCCTGTGAACACAGTATGTGTGCAACAAATGTTTACAAATATAAATATAAGATTGTTTTAAGGGATGAATCTGCTGGAAAATCGCGATGACCTTTCTCAGTCGGGGTGGGGTGGAGGGGGGGGGGCTGGATTGCCGAATGGCTAGCTCGTGCACGCTATATCATAAGGTCTGTCATTGAGTCAACTAGCGTGGTTTTGATTCTCCTGGTTGTACGTGACAAGGAGTAGGGTCGCCTGTCTAACCTCGTGGGTTTTCTCCGGGTCCTCCGGTTTCATCCCACTGCTAAAGACCCTTACGCGCAAGCGAATTATTGAAATAAAATTGAACCAAATGTTAGTCTCGAAATGACCTAGTTTATGTCGAGTGGACGTTCAACTAAACTCTCTCTCTCTCTCTCTCTCTCTCTCTCTCTCTTCTCGGCCAACACCGGGATCGGGCACCTGATCGTGTTGACCGTATCGAAACGTATCTGCCCGTATCAGATCGTGGACTCAATAGTGACAATTATATCGTTACGAATCGCACGGCAGTGGGAACCTTGCATTAGCAAGGTAAGTATTAACAAGGTAAGTTTAAGTAAATAATGAAAGAAAACAGGTAAATGGTCAAATAAAAACAACATTCAGTTACACAGCTAGTTTATAAATATCAAAATGAATATCAAAAGTTAACAGATTATTATCAATAAATTTCGGTATTTTTTCTAGTGTGGGGTGGGTGTGGGTGTGTGTGGGGGTGACTTTTAAAACTCTGTCCACTCATCGCACATCTTTGAGAGGCCGGGAGCCACGGTGGCTAAGTGGGTAAGACGCTGGCTCGCTAGCCTGGAGGTTGCGTGTTCGATATCTACATTGGCAAAGTTCATCGGGATTTTTCGACGTGGTTTCTCCTTTTAAGTGATGCAGGGCGGAGGGACTGACAAGGACAACTGTCTAGTCATTCGGATGTTACGAAAAAACGAGGTCCCGTGAATACATTTGCGTGCACGTAAAAGATATCTTGGCAGTGGGAATTCGATAAAAGAGTAGGCCGTAGTGCCGCTGTCCGGGCGTATGCCCGTTTTCATTATCTCAGTCGGAACAGAACAGTAGGACGTTAAACCCCATTTCATTTCATTTCATTTCTTTCAGATGCCAGTTGTGATCAGTCAACCAAACATATATTGAGCAGGGCGGGATAGGGTGGGAAAGTTTTTTTTAATTGTCTTAAACCAAACAAACAACACTAGCCTAAAGTTAATCATCGAACCAGCCTACAAATCACGTCCAACTTGTCGTCACAGTACAATATACCCTGTGTCTATCTCAACAACACTTTTTTCAATTTCTTCCGTTTATCAACCGTGTGTTACATCTCAACTACAAGTGGTAAATAATAAACGGATTAATCGGATCAGAAAAGCCAGTCGGGGGTATAAATATAAACTTTTAAAATTATGAATCATTTATTTTAGTGACAACATAACACGGTATTTGTAAATATTTTTTATAGAACAATAGTTGCTTGTGTTATGTTCAGGATGGTTCAGTTCACAACCTTGCTGTTAGTGTTTTGTGGTAAGTTATAAAACATTATTCAATACTTACATAGCACCGAGTTTTCCAACGTGGTTTCCACTTGTCAGTGGGGCAGGACGGATGAGACGAAAAACCGAGGTCCCGTGTACACATTGGCGTGCACGTAAAAGATCACTTGGAAGTTGGAATTTGATATAAGAGTAGGTCGTAGTGCCGCTTCCCAGGCGAAATTACCCTCATAGCACATAAAGGACGCCTTGGCAGTTGGAATTCAATATAAGATTATGCCGTAGAGCCGTTGCCAGTGCAAAATTACCCTCATAGCACACTGTATGGCGTATGCCTGTCTTCATTAGCCCAGTTGGAGATGAACAGTAGGACGTTAAACTACATTTCATTTCACATAGCACCGATTCATAGCACGGACTTCAATGAAAGCAAATGAAGAGTACAGGGGAAGAACGATCTAAGTCACATTTTTGTCTTTTCGCATTAAAGGCAAAACAGACTTTTGGACGAGATTGTTTGACGCGAACAGAACAACAAGTGGGTTTAATTACAACTTCAAAATGATGTTTAATACGAATCATAATTACCAGTACAACAACTGACTTCCACTTTTCAGCCAAATTAAGGTCAAATAATGGGTACAATGGAAGTATTTGTCCGGGAAGCCATTTCAGAAGGGCCTTGGTTCGATGTGACTCCAATCGTTTTTACCTGAAATTGATTGTTCCACAGAAAGCTTATAAAATTTGCTACCAGATGGCGCCATTAACTGGGTTCGTTGAAAAATGACTTAGATCGTTCTTCCCCGGGGTTCTTCAAATATTTCTATGATATAACATGAAAAGAAAGGGGGTTTAACGTTCTACTTTTCTGCACCGACTGGGCTAATGATATACGCCATACAGTGTGCTATATCTGGTCTACTCTTATTTCGAATTCCAACTGTCAGGGGTTCTTTTACGTACACGCCAATGCGTACACGGGACCACGAGTTTTAGTCCTATCCGAACGACTAGATCGCCCTTGCACGGCTTTCCGTCCTGCACCACTGACAAAGGGAAACCGCGACGAAAAACCGAGGAAATATCTCGGCCAACGCCGAAATCGAACCCGAGACTTCCTGATCAGCTACCCAGCGGTGGTTGAATAGCGGGGTATTATCTTGGATGCCGCGGGTTCGAATCCCGGAGTAGAATTTTTTTCAAGTCTGGTTTGCCACGTGTAATGGGGGGTGTCTGTCGGACTCAAACGGAAAATCCGTCTAGTCGTTCGGATGGGACGCAAAACCTAAGGTTGACGTGCATATGTCTCTAAAACTGTGCAATGTGGTTAATTCAAAATACGGCATCTGAAATAAATATTATCATCTAAATCGAATTGAATGGTGTGTGCAGAGGAATGAGGCGCTGTGTGCTTGTGTGCGCGGTACCCGAGTATAGTTTCTCTTGTATTGTTTGATTATGGTACCAATGTGCAAATGAAATGAAATGGGGTTTAACGTCCTATACTCTTCTGCACCAACTAAGCCAATGAAGACAGGCATACGCCATACAGTGTTCTATGATGGCAATTATTCTCGGACAGAGCGCTATGGCCTACTCTTATATTGAAGTCTTACTTTTACCTGCACGCCAATATGTAAACGGGCTTTTCGTCCCATTCGAGCGACTATACATTGTCCTTTGCCAGACCCTCTCTCCTCCAGCACTGACAAGGGGAGACCACTCGGGAAATCTAGATGAACTTTCGCAGCCAACGCCGGGATGGAACATAAAACCCCCAAGTTAGCCATCCAACGTCTTATTCACTGAGCCACCGCGCCTCCTAGAATACAAAAATATAGGGATTATTAGGACAGAGTGGGCATCCGGGTGATCACAATAATTATCACGGCAAATTTAAGATAATTAAACAATATATTAAAGGTTAATTAGGTAGGATTGAATAAAGAGCTGATAGTTCTCGCTATAATAGTTACAAAATAGATAATGAAAACGTAATATGCTGAAAATTTCAGTCAAATTGCTTCACTTTGAACCGAGATATTAGCGATTCAATTTTAGGCTAGCCTCCATCGTCATTACTAACCTTGGTACGATATTAAACATAGTCTCGATTATCCATTTTTGGATTAAATCATCAATGAGCGTTGAGCAGTAGATCTGATTTTAACGTTAAATTATCCGTCACAAAATTCACTAAATATTGCAGGCTAACGATGACATCGAGAGTTGATTATGTTCTGGATAAGTTAATTAATGTCTAATTAATAATTTAGATAACATTTCAGACCTAAAGAAAGACCTGCAATAGGCAGATTTAGATCTTGCATAATGTATGTTTAAGGATTATAATCTCGTTTATTGTATTTTGGCGCTAATTAAACCGTGTTATTCTCTGTTTCAGCATATTTGACAGGTTATGTAGATGGTCAGTTTCAGAGTCAGAGCATAGGATGTCTAGCTGGGGATTATCCTAACCCGACCAGTGATACCTGTATTTCGTTCTTCAGGTGTCTTAGTGGACAGGTATGATGATAAATACATAAGAGACTTGTCAAGGTTGACAAATGTAGATGTCTGGGATTGGGTGTTATGAATCCGGTTGGGGGGTGAATGGTTAATGCATGCGCGTTGGATCATAAGGTCTGTCATTGATTCATGTGTCATGGTTTCGATTCACCGACTGTACGTGACATGGTGTAGGGTCGCCTGTCCAACCTCGTGGGTTTTCTCCGGGTCATCCGGTTTCTTCTCATTTCCAAAGACACCTACGCGCAAGCGAATTAGTGAAATAAAATTGAACCATATGTTAGTCTCGTAATGACCTAGTTTGTGTCGAGTAGACACAATTAATTAGACAATTATTCACATGCCACCCTATAATCAACTCTCTAGAGCATCGGTTGGGCGAGATTTAAATGGATTAGAACACCCGCGAGATTTTAAAGTTTAGCAATAAAGTGGATTATCGATAGTCAAGTACCGTTGCTCAAGTACACAATAAACGCCACATTTTCAAACGCTCATATCTTCGCTTGGAATAAAGTTACTTGACTGAAATTTTCAACGTATTCATTGTCTATATTTGTCTATTATTATAGCGAGAACGACCAGCTGTTTATCTAAATCTTACATAATGCATCTTTAATTCTTCTTCTTTAGGTTATTCCTTTTCGATGTCCGGATGGTGAATTATTTGATTTCAGACGACGACAATGCCTGCCATCAGAAGAAGTTCGGTGTTCGGAACAACTTCGTCCATTTATTGCCGCACCTCTTCCTCCAGGGGCAGCAGGCTCTTCGGCCTTAGGTGGTCCAGGAGCTTTTCAACCAAATCCCTATTTTGCAAACTCAGGATTAGGTCCGAATGATCCCCAAACAAGGCTGGTTCTTCTCCCTAATGGAGTTGTCCAAAGACAATTTCCAGCAGGTCAACAGCCGGGAGTTCCCCAATTCCAGGGAAATCCCCAATTCCAGGGAAATCCCCAATTTCAGGGAAATCCTCAATTTCAGGGAAATCCCCAATTTCAGGGACAGCCACAAATTCCAGGAAATCCCCAATTTCAGGGACAACCACAAATTCCAGGAAATCCACAATTTCAAGGACAGCCACAAATTCCAGGAAATCCACAATTTCAAGGACAGCCACAATATCCTGGAAATACACAATTCCAAGCAGCACCCCAGATTCCAGGAACACGGCCTCTTAACGGAAACCAACCCGGATTGGGATCTCAGCTCGGAAATCAGCCCTTTGCAGGAACTCCCCCATTCTTCGGAACAGGAACCGGGAGTCAACCAGGTAATCCGCAATACCAGAGCGGACGAGGTGGTCAAGGCTCTGTATTTAATCAGGGTTCACTCAGACCACAAACTCCACCAGGTCCTGAACCAAATAATCAGGGTTAGACCCACTAATCGATTTCATACCATCGATTACATCTGTAAATATCTGTATATAATATTTAAATATGTTGATCCATCTATTTTATTGTTTTCTTGAATTCATTTTTCTTCATCCATCACGGGCCTGTCCAACCTCGTAGGTTTTCTCCGGGTCCTCCGGTTTCCTCCGGGTCCTCCGGTTTCCTCCCACTGCTAAAGACCCCTACGCACAAGCGAATTATTGAAATAAAATTAAACCATATGTTAGTCCCGTAATGACCTAGTTTGTGTCGAGTGGACGTTAAACCCCATTGCTCTCTCTCTCTCTCTCCCCTCTCTCTCTCTCTCTCTCGCCCACTTGACACATTCTAGGTCATTTCGAGACTAACATATGGTTCAATTTCAATTAAATAATTCTCTTACGCGTAGGGGTCTATAGCAGTGGACCTTTAAAGAGCCCACGATGTTGGACCAGGGAGGAATCGACACCACGCCACTTGACTTAATGACAGACCTTATGATCCAACGATCGAGTGATTTAACGCGTGCGCTTTAGCTTACAAGGTCTGTCATTGAATCAAGTGGTATGGTTTCGATCCCAATTCAATTCAGATCAATTATAATACGTTACAGATGGTGGGGGGTGGTAGCGCGTGCGCATTGTATCATAAGGTCTCTCATTGAGTCAAGTGGCGTGGTTTCGATTCCCCTCTTGTATGTGACAAGGAATAAGATCGCATGTCGAACCAGGGCCGTATTTAGCGGGGTGCAAGGGGTACATTGTACCAGAAAAATACGGCGCCCCGAGAAATTGCGTCCCCACCCCATCCCAAAAAACAAAAATTATTTGACAATCTTTCAATTATAAAATAATACACTTGATTATAATCACACAGTAATGCTCTTAAGGCACTGATCAATCGATCGGTTTTAAGGGCGCCCACACGCCAATGGGTTCATTTGCCCTGATCGAAACTTTCTTATATCACATACGTGGAGGCTATGGCGCCCCACCACTCTGCTGCACCCCCACTTTTAAAATCCTACATACGAACATCGTTGGTTTTCTCCGGGTCCTCCGATTTCTCTCTCGTTATGGATCAAATTGTTCAAACATACATTCGTTTAACTTTCTCGTTTGTGTTTGAAGGCGAATCTTGAAAAAACAATTAAGAATTGTGATTCATTATCTCAGTGGATATTTGACTGAGAAATTTAATCGGTTTAATAAAAGTTTGTCGTTTAGTGTTCACCAGGAAATACCAAATGTTAAACTTTAAATAAAAGATATTATCTTAAGTAGAGGTTTAACCCACCGTAGTGAAAAATGTTCTCGCTGTGCTTTGCTCCTGTTGGCTCACTACACTTTATTAAATTTAAGCGTTTTCCGAGATTCTATCCTGAATAAAATAAAACAAAGTACGAACAATCCAAACCATTAGACAAAATTCAAAGTCCTAAAAAAACAGTATAGGCAAAATAGTGTAATAAGGCAAAATAGTGTAATAAGGCAAAATAGTGTAATCAGTATATGGACTGTTCACCGTGTACAAAATACACGACAAACAGTGGTAACAGGTAGCCGGAAGAGTAAGCTTACCCTGCCTGGCGCCCCACACGCCATAGCTAACCCTATCACCACTATTGTTAACATTTTTTGACTTTCTAACTCATGACTTTTGACTCATCCAAGAAGCTTTAACGACGGACACTATTCAGTTTTGTGAGGTGGCCGGCTTGACTCAGTATCAGGCTTAACTCTTTACCAAATTTGGCTTGGTACCCAGTTTGACTCGGTTACCAATCTCCCAATTCCCCACCCTCAAGACGCGAAGTGAGGTTCATCGTCCACTCGACACAAACTAGGTCATTTCGGGACTAACATATGGTTCAGTGTTTTTATTTCAAAGGGGTCTTTAGCAGTGGGGGGGGGGGGGCCGGAGGACCTGGAGAAAATCCACGAGGTTGGACAGGCGACCCTACTCCTTGTCACGTACAACCGGGGAATCGAAACCATGCCAGTTGACTTAATGACAGACCTTTTGATACAACGCGCACGCGCTAATCATTCGGTTACCCCCCCCCCCCCCCGTCCCCAGAAGAAGATAAAAGTGTGTTTTAAACACAATTGAGTAAAGTCGCGGATGGTGACGGGTGATAAAGATTGCAGTGGATTTATGAAAAGTTTATGACAGTATCAACAATAGTATGCACCTCCTCGATCTTGAGGCCATAAGCTTCAGTCTGCCGAGTCTATAGCTAAATCGGGCAGTGGGTCGAACTCATTCAACCAACAGGAAACTACCTGTTCTAATGGTAAATTACAGGAGCTATAAATCTTAATGAAAAACAAAAACCCAGAATATTTTTTATTTATCAAGTTATACAGAGAGTGTACTGAGTTACAGTATATAAATAATCTAAGTAGAGTTGACCATTATACAAGCTTTCCCTTCTATGTACATCGCTAGAGCATCTGCCTTTTCTGAAAGTACATGAGACAATTTGGTAAGATTCATATAGTAAGAAAAATAGAGGGATGGGGTTTAACGTCCACTCGACACACGCTATGTCTAGTTTCAATTTTATTTCAATAATTAGCTTGCGCGTAGGAATCCTTAGCAGAGGCTGGGGGTAGGGGGATCCGGAGAAAATCAACGAGGTTGGACAGGCGACCCTACTCCTTGTCTTTATTATTATCATACATGGAGGCACGGTGAGTAAGGCGCTGCGCCATCCAACTATCGTGGTTCTTTGCCGTGCACGCGAACGTGTACACGGCATCGTAGTACGTCGTCCCTTCCTTGTCAAGCCATTCTTCCTGCATCACTGACAAAGGAGCCTCACTGGACAAGTATTTGTGTGTCAGCGTCTTATCATCTTCGGTACCCCCTGCACAAGTATTTGTGTGTCAGCGTCTTATCATCTTCGGTACCCCCAATGGTCTCATTCTGTGCCACTACCCTAACCCCTGGCTTTTAATGTGCATGTCACTTCTTTTATATTAAATTTCTTGCAAACTTTTTGATAATCGACCGAACAAGCCGCCATATTGTTTTAAACGTAAACAGTGAGGCTGGTTTATAGTTCGTAGAATCAGGATACGATCAAGGGCAGATAATTTAAATATGCGAATACCCCATGCATGAACCCATAGTGGGGTGAAACGGAATGAGACCACTGAGGATACCGAGAATAGCGGCAATTTACTTCAGCCGGTACCATGCAAATAAACACGTAACCATCCGTCACAAAATACACTACATTGGCAATGCTTTTACTCTGATAAAAACGTCCATATTCATCAAAACCTACGATTCGGTTAAACACATATTAACAAAACTGGCAAGAAGAGCCAGGAAGAGGGTGAGATAGAGATAGGGCTCCATTAATTTCCCCATCGGCTTCAATATTATCTGATCTCTTTGTCCGGCTCCAACGTTTCCTTTAAAGTTTTGTCGAGCTGAACGCTTTTCACTACATACAAAGCAATAAATGGCCAAGCCTTTGCTCCGGATTTTGTTTGAAACCGACTAATGCAATTTTGAGATACACATTTTTGCTGTAGCATATAAAAACATATAAAAACCCGTCAAACATATCACCATATCCAACCTCCTAACTCTGTTACCCTTCCGCCTCTAAGTAATTAAATTTTTACCAAAACGTGGCAGAAAATATCAATTCCACCCCCCTTGGTCGTGCAAAAAGGGAGAATGAAAGAGAGTGGCGATTGCTATAAATAGACATTTAATGGTGTCTGTATCCTAAATCGCACGTTTCAATGAGTTTTTATCTCCCCTGATCTTTTATGACGATTGCGAGTGAAATTGGCTTTATCTCGTCCATTCAACACATTCGGGACTAACATATGTTTCAAATTTATTTCAATAGTTTGCTTACGGTAGCGGTCTTTTAGCAGTGTGAGTCGGGGTGGGTGGCAGCGAAGGACACACAGAAAACCCACGAGGTTGGACAGGGGACCCTACTTCTTCTAACATAAACGCGGGGGAATTGAAACCACGCCAATGACAGGCCTTATGATCTAGTGCATGTATTAAACCATTCGACCACCCCCACCCACCTCCACTTTCTCCTGTCTACTTACCGTTTAGCCAGTGAAGATATTGGTGGTACCCCTGTTAGTCTGGGAACATTGAACACGGAAAGTTGGTAAGGCATTTAAACAAGCAGTGTCTTTACATGTTCTTGAGAAAGCACGAACTAATTCAGGCAAGGCAGCGTTAAGGCGGTTCTGTATAGTAGAACATTGTGCACCGTCTAATATTTCCCGATTGTTACTGATAAGTCGTAGTTCAACTGTTTTTCCTGAAATTACAGAATCGATGGGTATAAAATATAAAAAATGAAATGAAATGTGGTTTAACGTCCTACTGCAATCTGGTTAAAACACAGATCCTATTTCGTTTCGTTTTTTATAGTTCAAAATTTTGTTTTACTTGTCTGTACTACACTAGGATCTGGAAGAGTTGTTATGTAACAGGCGTTCTAGTTGATGTGAGCAAAGAGCCAATTCAATGGTCTGTTGCAGCTCGTTCTTGGTGTGCGATGCACGGAACTGTGGGTATCCTTATAGAAACATAATGCTGATTGATTAATCAATGTCTGACGTCATAAGGTCAAAAGCCGCTCTTTTACGACATCTTACGCGACCTTCTACTACAACAGGTCAGATCTTCATGTAGTGTAGGCCATCGAAAGTATAAAAAAAACGAAACGAAATATAGATCTGTATTTTTATCAGATTGCGTCCTAATATTAACATTTTTGTATGAATGAAATGAAGTTATATTACACATCTGCTACAACTGGGCTATAATATGGTGCTTTACACGAGACAATTTAAATAATAATCACAATAATCATAAAAACAAATATTATAACACTTTATATATACAGTGGTACATGACAAGGACAGCTTTCTATTCGCTTGGATTGGACGAAAAACCGAGGTCACGTGTATACATTGGTGTCCACGTAAAAGATCCCTAGCAGTTAGAATGCCATAGCCAGGGCAAAATGTCCCTCATATCACACCGTATGGCGTATGCCCGTCTTCAGTAGCCCAGTCGGAGCAGAACAGCAGGACGTTAAACCCCATTTCATTCCATTTCTATAGACCCGGTTGGACAAACCATTGATCTGAGGACGGACTGTCAACGGTTAATCTAGTCATTAGAATGCTTGTAAAATTATGTCTTGCATAAAATACGTGAATTGGGGTTTAACGTCCTACTCTTCGTTACCATCAGGGCTAATAGACGGGTGTCTTGGACGCAGTGTGCTATAAGAGAAAATCCACACTGCCACGGGTTCTTTCAGTGTAACTCGGAATATCTTCCCGTTGTCCTTGCTATGCCCTCCGCTTTACACCAACGACAGGACAAAGCCTGACTGGATAATTCAATGAAATTTTGAAATTATCGCTGATAACTTTATCTGTTTTTACATAATTAAAATTTCTTCCTATCTTACAATTTTAGGTGCCAGTCCCTTTGATGGAGCCACGGTGGCTAAGTGAGTAAGACACTGGCTTACTATCCTTAAGGTCGCGGGTTCTATCCCGGTATTGGCCTAGAAAGTTCATCGGAATTTCCGGTTTCCTCCCAAAATGAGTAGTTGAGTTGAGATGACGTTAGGAGACTCTACTTCTCTATCTCTCTGTTTTGTAAAGCCACAGTGGCTAAGTGGGTAAGATGCTGGCTCGCTGGCCTGGAGGTCGCGTGTTCGATCCCTGCATTGGCGAGAAAGTTCATCGGGACTCCCCTTTTCAGTGGAGCAGGACAGAGGGCCTGACAAGGACTGTTGTCTAGTCGCTCGGATAGGACGAAAAATCCAAGGTCTCGTGTACATATCGGCGTGCACGTAAAAGGTCCCTTGGCAATTGGAATTCGAAATAAAAGTAGGCCGTAGGGCCTACTGTATGGCGCAAGCCCGTCTTCGATAGTCCAGTCATGGCAGAACAGTAGGACGTTAAATCCTCATTTCAGTTTTTGTACTTTGTACAAACAAGGGGCAGGAGTATGCACACCACTGAGTGAAATCACGCCCCCCTCCTCCCCCGCCCCTACCCCAACCCTCCTCTAAAAGAATATTGTTGACATTACAAACTTTGAAGGTATGCAAACAAGCAAAGAGCTAGAGTATGCACGTGACTAGGTGAAATCCACCTACCCCGCCCCTACCCCAACCTTTGAAGGTATAAAAACAAGGAGCTAGAGTATGCACGCCACTGAGTGAAATCACGCCCCCCCCTCCTCCCCCGCCCCTACCCCAACCCTCCTCTAAAAGAATATTGTTGACATTACAAACTTTGAAGGTATACAAACAAGTAGCTAGAGTATGCACGCCACTAGGTGAAATCCAGTAGACGTGGTACAAGGGTTAATCAGCGAACTGGATGTATGAGATGTGTTGTTGACGTTTGGGAAAGTAGGACGAGGGGAAATGTGTAGGGAGTGAAGTGCTGTAAAGGGATAGTTAGATGTATTATGAATGGTTAGAGTGGCTGTGGTGTTACGGTGAAATACTATGCCGCCACCGTAACACCACAGCTTTATGATTTGTTAGACAGGAGTGATGTAATGGGTGTCAACAACTGGGTATGCTGGTACCGTCGCAACGTAGCCGTGAAATATATATTGTGGGGGGGAAGGGCGGAAACGGAAAAATATACAATGTTGACAGTATGTGCCAGGCATGAGGCTGCGCAGACCGAGCGGCAGCTCGATAGGGAGTGTGTGGGAGGGTCACCCTCATAAAAAATTTTTTTTTTAAATTTCAGTTTTCTGTAAGCAGTGAAAACACTATTTTGGCATTGTTTGCGGGGTTAAACCTAAAAATCACATTAATACACCTATTGCACGATACTGTGAAACTAGCTGACGAAGACAGCTCGGGCGGCGATTGTTCGACTCGGGGCTTCTCTGTCAGTATCTAACAAACGCATTTAGTTCGCGTACAACTTTTAAAAACCGAATGTCAGTATGGTATTTCTCACATAATTGGTTATCGCAAAAACAGAGTAAACCGAAAGCGAGTAATCTCGACTCAAACCTATAGTCTATAGCCTACTTACTACACTCGTCACTAGGCTTCCTATATTATTGTTTGTGGACGGTTTACTACTCAGTGATAAGCCTGCGCCGCAAAAAGAGGTCTCGCCTTTTATTATTAGTATAATGACTTCTTCATGTGCGGCAGGTTAGTTTGCTTCTAAAAACGCTGTTTTCCGTTCCAAAAAATACAAAAGTAATTTTCTACCAGATGACCATGGTTCTTTTCACCGAGACTAGATAATTTCTCTCGGTGTAAGGATATAGCTATGGATAAGTTCATACAAGGTCAATAAATCCGCGGTCACTTCGGGTCACACTGTTGAGAAAATAAACCGATGGGTTTGTTTACTAGCAAATCGAGCGTGAATCAACTGAGTTTGTACTGAAAAATTTTTGAGTGATATGTATGAACTGTCTTCACACATTCGGTTTATAATTAGCGATACACAGGTACAGTGGCAAGTGTTGTACTTCACAGACTGTTCACCTCCGAACTACCTCCGCACGAAATCCCCGATTTGGGTACTTGTTAAAAGAAAAAGAAATAGTACCTGTGCGCATGCCAGTAAAAAAAGAACTAAGAGTTCGCGCATAAAATTGCCCGAACGTACCAGGCGCCAGGTCATCCAGCCCCCCCCCCCTACCCTCCTCTAAAAGAATATTGTCGACATTAGTAAAATTTGAAATGTTACTTACTTAGATTCGAATTGACAATAGGAGCAGTATTTCTATTTGTATTAAGGCCCGTGGTCCACCTGTTGCTGTTTGTATTAAGGCCCGTGTTCAGTCTGTTACTATTTGTATTAAGGCCCGTGGTCCATCTGTTACTGTTTGTATTAAGGCCCGTGTTCAATCTGTTACTATTTGTATTCAGTCTGTTATTGGTAGCAGTCCATCTGTTGTTCAGATTGGTGTTCGTATTAGTGTTCCAGCGATTGGTGTTCCTGTTGGTGTTCCACTGGTTGTTTACCAAACCAGTTCGTCCTGAAATGCCCGTTCCTGTCGGACGAACCCCGTTCACACAATTGACCAGTTCGCTCCTAATACATTGCTTCAAGTCAACGCTGTACGATGTTCCTGGAGAACAGGTGAATTCAGCTCTATTGAGTCCTGGTATACCACATTGGATAAAACGGGTACAGTTTCCCGGGAAGGCAGTATAACCCTCATATCCGACTGGACAAAGAGTAGCTGAAGGAAGGTCTGGAGGGCTCTGACGGAGGCCCCTGTTAACGTTTAGCCGGTTCCGGTTTAAGAATCTTTGTTGCCAATTCGTGTTCAGTTGAGCCTGGATCTGTAATATCATCAACCCCATCAAACCTGTAATTCAAAAACAAAATAAATTAAACGTGTTTTTTTGCCCTATTTGTTGCACCGACTGGACTTATGAAGACGGGCGTACGCCATACAATGTGCTTGGGCGAAATCCTTGCCCCCCCCCCCCCCCAACATACATACACACATACACACACCCTGCAACCACTGACAAAGGTATACCACGCTAGAGAAATCATTTCGAGACTACAATATTGTACAAACTTTTTCATTTTGGGGACTAACATATGGTTCAATTTTATTTCAATAATTCACTTGCGCATAGGGGTCTTTAGCAGTGGGAGGAAACCGGAGGAGGTTGGACAGGCGATCTTACTCCTGGTCACGTAAAACCGGGGAATCGAAATCACGCCAGATGACTCAATGACAGACCTTATTATCATATTATCAGCGCGCACGTGCTAACTATTTGGAAGCTTGTGTAAGACATGATGTGTAGAATGTAAAATGATATTTACACCTGCAACTGGTTTTATAATCGATAGGAAAACTTCATTTTATATAATTAAATACTGACTCTTTGATATTTCTCTTAGTATTTGGCTACTTTTACTACGTTACACTTATGGAAAATCTTATAATTCAACGTGGCTAAGTGGGTAAAACGCTGGCGGGAGGTCGGGTGTTCGATCCCTGTATTGGCAAAGAAAGTTCATCCAGATTTTCCGGCGTGGTTTCCCCTTGTCAGTGATGCAGGACGGAGGGCCTGACAAGGACAGCTGTCTAGTCCTTCGGATTGGACGAAAAACCTAGGTCCCGTGTACATATTGGCGTTCACGTAAAAGATCCCTTGGCAGTTGGAATTCGATATAAGAGTAGGTCGTACCGCCACTGCCCGGGCTAAATTTCCCTCATAGCACACTGTATGGCTTATGCCCGTCTTCATTAGCCCAGTATAGGAGCAGAACAGTAGGACGTTAAACCCCATTTCATTTTATAATTCAACATTTTAAAAAACTAAAATTGATTGATGCCTATTGAATGACGTACATGAGAGATATTAAGAACAATAACATTGACATTGATCTGGATGTTACAGATACCATGTCTGTTCACCATTCATCAATATTCATAGACACATGATGACGTATTTAAGTAGAAAACGTGATCAAGCGGAAGTAGATCTTTTTAAATGTCGATTTCCAAACCTTGAGCTGTGTTTGTCTATCAGGTGAATATATTTATATTCATATCGATTTAGTTAATATTATTGGTACCGATGCATAAATATCCAAGTCGTTTTGTAAAAAAATATCTCAAATAGCCATCATGTAAGATTTAGATAAAGAATTGGTCGGTCTTGTGAGAGAGAGAGAGAGAGAGAGAGAGAGAGAGAGAGATGGGGTTTAACGTCCACTCGAAACAAACTAGATCATTTCGGGACTAACATGTGGTTCAATTTTATTTCATTAATTCACTTGCGCGTAGGGGTCTTTAGCAGTGGGGGGAGAAAACCCACGAGGTTGGACAGGCGACCCTACACCTTGACACGTACAACCGGGGAATCGAAACCGCGCCAGGTGACTCAAACAGAGGATGCAAACTTACAAACTGACAAATTTTCCATTGATCATACTCGACGGAACTGAAACATTTTTCGGACTGATATTCGTTTTAGCGATTCATCTTTTACAATACTGGGGCAAGGGATTCATCATTCCTCAAAATATTATTAGAGATTTTAGATTTTGCTAGGTTCCCACTATCACGATTCGCGCTACGATTGAAATCGTGGTTTATCGTGGTGATCCTGTCGTATCATACATTATATTGAGGTCGGTTGTAGCACTGGTATCGAAAAATATCCGAACGTATCTGCACGTAGCAGATCGTGGACTCAATAGGGGCAATCCTCTCTAGAAGTAAAGGACAATATTGGTGTGAGAGGATATTATCTGAAAATTTATCACTAGATAAGGGAAAGGAGAAAAATAGATATCCTCCCAGTCTCATACTCATAATTACAAATTTTATTCTTCAAAGGAATTATTAGTGAGCAGAAAGTCGCCCGTGTATCTGTTATCACTCGTCACTTCAGTCAGTTATATAGAAGGATATAACTCGTGTTTTCCGTTTGCTTTCGTCACTTCCCTTTCTTGAAATCTTCATAACGCATCTATCGGAGTAATGATCTCTGTGTTAAAATTATATCTGGAACGTGTTTAACTAGTTCTATCACATATGTGATAATGACTGACACCAATGACTGACATCAATATTGTCCTTTAAAAACAAAATAAATGTGTATGGAACAGGTCCTTGGTCTCAAACAATTCACACGTTTTATGAATATTTTGTGTTTCGTTGTATCAACGACATTTTGTTTAAATTAACACCATGTGTATTAACTGTGTTTACCTGCAATCCACCACACAGAAACAAACATAACAAGTTTTAATAATTAACAACAAAAAAACTTACCAAAAGAAATAAAAGACTTTGTCATCTTTACCTCAAGTTTTAATAATTAAAAAAAAACAAAAAAAAAACAAAGCAAACAAACTTACCAATAGAAATAATAAACTTTGTCATCTTTACCGCACTCGTTAAGATAATCACCCGCTTCCGAACAAACTTACATGAAGAAATGAAGCAAAGAAGTTAACCACTGTCAAATATACCCGTTGACATGGTAATCCCCACCTTGTCTTTTCTACCGTCTCGGCGACCTTTCATAAATCTGGATGTAAAGGAGCACATTGAATTCTTGTATCGGTGATAGGTGGGTTGGTCAAGTTCGTGCCCATCAAGCCCCAACACGCTATCGTCTACTTGAAGGTCACCACCCCAATCTTCTGTTAGGCGGCTTCAAGTTTGTTAATCGGCAGAACGTGTAGATATGATAAAAACAAATAAAGTTCCCCACTCTTATCTTCATCTACATTATTAAAGTCACTCTTTCTTTTTATTTTATTTTTTCTATGTAAAAATAACTTGGTCTTTACGAGACTGGTTTCTTTTTCTTTTTTTTAAAAATAAATCAACAATTAAAACACATAATTCAATTAGTATTTCTAAATGTTTAGTTTATAATTTTTTAAAAATTAAACATACATTATGTAAGAGCTACATTTGCCTATTGTGGATCTTTCTTTGGGCCTTAAATGTTATATAAATTATTAATAAGACATTTGTTAACATGGCAAGACCATACTTAACTCTCGATGCAATCGAATGACTCCGATTTAAAGTAGATTAGAACTGTTCGGTCATTTAATGATTTAATTTAAAAACGGAGACGCGAAGCTAAGACTCGAATGATCAGTTGTGATCCATGCACATGTCTTGTTCAAACTACAAATACTGATAACTTCACTCATTTTAGGGGGGTTGGATGGCTGTATCATAAAGTCTGTCATTGAGTCGACTGGCGTGGTTTCGAATCCCCGGTTGTACGTGGCAAGCAGTAGGGTCGCCTGTCCAACCTCGTGGGTTTTATCCGGGTCCTCCGGTTTCCTCCCGCTGCTAAAGACTCCTACGCGCAAGCGAATTATGTAAATAAAATTAAACCATATGTTAGTCCCGAAATGACCTAGTTTGTGTCGAGTGGACGTTAAACCCCATTTCTCCCTCTCCCTCTTTCCTCATTTTATATAACCTATTTTTGAAATTTTATAGCGAGATTTAACAAGAAATAGAAATGAAATGAAATAGGTTTAAAGTCCTACTGTTCTGCTCCTAACCTGGGCTAATGAAGACGGGCATACGCCATACAGTGTGCTATGAGGGAAATTTTGCCCGGGCAGCGCCACTATGGCCTACTTTTGTATCGAATTCAATGTGCCAAGTTATCTTTTACGTACAAGCCAATGTATACACGGGACCTCGGTTTTTCGTCCCATCCGAAAGACTAGACAGCTGTCCTTGTCAGGCCCTCCGTCCTGCATCACTGGCAGGGAGAAACCACGTCGGAAAATCCCAATGAACTTTCTCGGTCAATGTAGGGGTCGAGCCAGCGCCTTACCCACTTAGCCACCGTGGCTCCACAAGATAGAGAGAAGTAGGGTTTAACGTCATCTCAACATAAACAACGTCATCTCCGGGAGGAAACCAGCGGACCCGGAGAAAACCCACGAGGTTAGCAAGGCGACCCTGCTTCTTGTCATGTACAAGCGGGGAATCGAAACCACACCACTTGACTCAATGACAGACCTTATGATTTCACGGGCTCAATGAGACTCAACATCATCTCAACACAAATTAGGTCATTTCGAGACTCTCTTATCAATATCGGGGCCGCCACTTTAAATATTGTTTTGATTATCTGTGTTTAGGTGTATGAAGCCGGCCTGTAATTACCTGTGCGTTACCTGCACATATGGCTGGTATCTATCGAGATATTTCTCACATCGTTCTTAGACAAAACGTAAATCCTTCAAAACCATTTGAACTTTTTAAAAATTTACAATAGGTATTCTATTGCTCTTAGCAGCATTAACAACTGCTTGTTAGAAATTTGAATTATGTGTTCCAAGTGAATGTAGTTATTTTTAAAACGTGTTCGGAAATTCTTGCCAATTTTTACATTTTTAAAAATGTATATAATTTGCTTAAATGTTTTATTTCGTGAATTTTGTTTCTAAATCTAACATCAAACATCTTATGAGAACAATAAAAAAATGTGCTCAACACACAGACTCGAGTGAAATTAGTTTTCGGGATTTAATTTAGATTTTAGAAGCTAATGTTATTAAACAGTCTATTAACACTTCAAAGTCACACAAAGCAGCTAAATCCAAAACATGTTGTTTTGGTCGGGTTCATTTCAAGCAATGTAACGTGTTGGTGTTGCAAGTTAGCAAATTATAATTCACTGCACTCTACATCAAGTTCATTTAAAATCTTATTTTTTATTGCATTGAGCTAGCTTTAAGAACCTGTTGTACTTACAGTATATATTGTAAGTGCAGGGGTACCACACCACACACAACAAAATAGGAGCAAAGTTCATCAACGAGAACGAAGGACTAACACTCTAATAGTTTAATGGTAATGGGTTTAACGTCCACTTGACACGAACTAGGTCATTTCGGGATTAACATAATATGGTTCAATTTTATTTTAGTAATTCGCTAGCGCAGAATTTCTTTAGCCGTGGAAGGAAACTTGAGAATCCGGATAAAACCCACGAGACTGGACAGGCGATCCTACTCCGTGTCACGTGCAAGCGGAGAAACAAAACCATACCACTTGACGCAATGACAGACCTCGTGAGTTAACGATTTTTGTATAATTTAATCTAGGTCATATGTTAGGTTTTTGTATTCCTGTGATTTTGCAATTAAAGGTATGACATTTTAAGGGTATATTTTTTCACCTGTTATTTACTAATGAATGAGTTTCGGTGTTTCACACCTTTATCTTACCTATAGGTCAAGCAGATGTTAATTTACCTTTGATGTTTTTAAGTACCGACAGGTACAGGGATATACCGTTAGTTGTTCTGAAATGAGAGGCTAACTTTCTAGTACGATTCACTGTCATCTATGCAAGAAAACCACGTATATGAACCAATCATTGTACGTGGCAGGGAATGCCCGACTGTCAAGCTGGGACGATACGAATTGGAAGAAATCTCAATAGAGTTACATGGAACTGAATCCAATCAGCCCTAAAAAAAAATGACGTGGTGCGAGCTGAATCGTGGCGTAAACAAACAATTTAGCTGTAATGATTGGTCGAGATAGTAGAGACTTTTGGCAAGCGTAAATTCCTGGTCCGTATTGCGTATCCGTAACGATTTTGCGTGTGACGTCATCAATGCGTGTGTATTTCTCATACGTGATACGGCATACGGATACGGCAGCACGTATCGAACAGCTTTCATACGGAAAAGGTCCGTATAACGTTGTCGTCTTTTTATCGTCTTTTTTTTGCTACTTTTAGACGCTGAAATGTTGTGCCGTAGCGTTTTTATAAATCTATGTGTATCCTAGAACACGAAGGTGTATATTTGATGTGATTTTAACCATGGCAAAGACTGAAATTTAATCATTACTTTTAATGAGCTTTTAGCGGAATTTTCATATTTTACTGTCTGTCTGCACGCTTGTTGATCTACGTGCTAAATTTAGGGAGGTGGGACCTTGCAAATCTGTAAAAGGGGTATATTTTTTAATAAGATTCGACATTATTTTTTTTTTTAAATAACTCAGCGACTGTCGAACGACTTCACTCCCTTCAGGAATTTGTAGGCTACGTACTTGACTAGTACTGATGTTGATCTTGGTAGATAACTGCCATCATGCTGTAATAGAACTACGCTCAGATCAGCTACCCATACGTAGACGGCACGAAAATCTGCCAAAACTCTAAAACTAAATTAACGCAACGTATCACGTGACGATACGGATACGTTATACGTATCCTTATCAGTTACACATGCCAGAATTCATTTTCGGACGTTCAATAGAGTATCATCCGTTTAGTCTCGAAATGACCTAGTTTTGTGGGTAGGCTACAATATGTGGGAGAGCGATGGCCGAATGGTTAGCGCGTGCGCGTTGTATAATAAGGTCTGCCATTGAGTCAACTGGCGTGGTTTCAATTCCCCGGTTGTACGTCACAAGGAGTAGGGTTGCCTGTCCAACCTCGTTGGTTTACTCCGGGTCCTCCGGTTTCCTCCCATTGATAAAGACCCCTACGCGCAAGCGAAATGACCTGGTTTGTGTTGAGTGGACGTTAAACCCCATCTCTCTGACCGAGAAAGTTCATTCATTGGGATTTTTCCGCCGTTGCTCCGTATTGTTTATAGTGGTACAGGAAGAGGGTCTGGCTGGCAAGAGTCGGGGTATAGTCGTTGGTATAGGACGAAAACCTTAGGTACGCAATTCGTTTCATTTCACTATATGTGTCTGCAATTACCCAATGCAATTATTGAAATAAAATTGAACCCTATTATGTTTAATCTAAAATGACAAAGTTTATGTCCTATTGACGTTACCCCCCCCCCCACCCCCACCACCACCCCCACACACCCCTGCCTCTCTGTCAAATGATGGTCAATGAATTTAAACCGATTTCTTCACTCAATAAATAATTAAAACACTAATCACTTCCTTTATCTAGATATAATTTACATTTAAAGTTTATCATTTAAACATGAACAGTAAATACACTAACTCATTAAATATTTAATAGGATCAAATCTTTAACAACAAAATAAACAGCTTGTAAAATTATTATAAACCAGGGGTAAACATTTATCCATTAAAAATATATTAACAAAAAAATCAACAGCTCGTAAAATTATTATAAAGCAAGGCTAAAAATATATTAACAAAAAAATAAACAGCTCATAAAATTATTATAAAGCAAGGGTAAACATTATTAACAAAAAACATCAACCGCTCGTTCAAATTTTATACACTTAAAGGTAAACAACAATCCATTTGCGATGTATTACGTTAAGATTTAAATCTACCTATTGCAGTTTGAACGAATCTGATTAAATTACAGATCTATATTTCGCTTTGTTTTTTCTTATACTTTCGATGGCCTACACAACATGAAGATCTGACCAGGGCTAGAACTACTTCTTAAGGCCAACTGAAGATTTTGTTAAAGGCTCAATACCACTCTTGTTGTAACTGAATAATATGTCCCAATCTTTATTCTGGTCAACAAATTGTACTATTTTACAATATTTCAATTAATTGATGATAAAAATTTCATCTTAACACACCTTATTTAAAAATTTTAAAAAATTCAACATAATGGTTTGAAACGTCTAACGTAAACCTTTTCAAATGAAACTTCGATTTAAAAATATTTTCGAACCCTCTGGTCAAGTAAAATAGGATGTAATGGATAATTTACACAACAAGTAGGACACTAACACATCTAGTACTTAGATAGAGGTATTATTTATTTTCTGGAGCTTTCAAGCCAGCAAGAGTGATATTGTCCCTTTAAGGTCGCTGAGATGTAAATAAAGTGAGGGCACGTGATGATTGTTGGCGAGTTTGTAGGTTAGGGTAAGCGTTAGGTCACCTCGCCACTCAAACTACCGAGTTGTGGTCAGCCAGTATGTTCCGGTATGGACAAATCAAGCACGGCCTGTAAAAGATGACTGACCCTTAAGGTCAAGCCCGGTTTAGTTCTACATATGACGTCACATCATATGGCGTTGATAAGACTAGCATTGCGTACATAAGACGTAGTAATACAAACTACCCCGGACAGAATTAGCGCCTTTTACTCATTTACGCTTTCTATTCTATACACCCATTTACACTAAATACAAGGCATTTTATATGACAGTAAGTCCATTGTTACAAAAAGATTTCCCTTCTGCTATGTAAAAGAATGAATAAGCACTAGGGCAATATCGATGATGTCAATTACAAATTACGAGCTTTTGCTACTTATTGAAGAGATGGGGGGGGGGGAGAGGTAGGATATATATATTGGCAACCACCACATTTAAAACTCAAATCACTCGGCGTCCACATCCCAAAACTCCATTAAAGATACATTAGTTCAGAGCTCAATATGCCTATCGTCTTTCAATCAGACCTTTATTTACATAACAAGCCCAAAATCAACTCTGTAGACCCTCGGATGGCTAGGGGCCAAGTTAACATTTACCGTTAATCACTGACGTCACTACCTGAGACTGCCGATGAAAGGACAGATAATCGAGGGTACCGTAGGCACTGAGAACGTTACTTGATAGTCAAGAATTATCGTCTGTCAATCAAACGATCGGCAATTCTCGGAGACAGTTGATGCCTAATCCAAACTTCCATGAGTGATAACTTCGTTCAAAATAAGTAATTTGATTGAAATTTTCAATATTTTCTCTTTTTATCGTCTATTTTTGAATTATTATATCGAGAATGTCCAACTCTTTATTAAAATCATAACTAATGTATCTTTAAGGTGTGCGAGACAGCCTTCATGAACCCCCTCCCCCCCCCCCTCTCCCCAGTGCTTCAAATATGACATTTTTATACTTAAAACACCATTATTGTTTTTCTTAAAAAATTGTTTTAGAATTTAATTAGCAGAATTAATTAACTCGCCCGGATGTCATCCATGTCAGTTATTTGTGCGGCCTAGCGAATATTTACTCATGATCGGTATGGTTTATTTTTTCTAGGCGCGGTTCAGAAACCAGTATAAGTTTTTAAAATACCAACTGATATTGAAATTAAAAGTTTGATCAGTTTGGTTCAGAATCCAATATAATATCTAGATCCAGTTACAGTTTTGAAACTTTGTGTGGTGACGTAATCATACAAAATACACCTGTTGACATTGAAACTAAAAGCACGACAGAATCGGGTTTGAACACACAGAGCTGAACATTGGCTGAAGGTTGTTGAGTCGAAGGCTGTCATTGGCTCGATGTTTACATCCGGTACGACGTCATTTTGAAACAGAGTGAATAAGATGTTTCTGACGTGTGGTGTTATCGCACACGGATTGGCTGAAATAATAAATAAAAGATTGTTGTTATGGCAACCATGGCATATTATACTTTCGATTTCGAAATATAAAGTAAGAAGGAAAAAAACAATAATAATCTAATCCCCCAGGTTCAAAATGGAATTTTCGATTCGCAATGAAATGAAATGACATGGGTTTAACGTCCTACTTTGGGATAATGAAGACGGGCATATGCCATACAGTGTGATATGAGGGAAATGTTGCCTGGGCAACGGCACTATGTCCTACTCTTATATAAAATTCCAACTACCAAGGGATCTTTTACGTGCATGCCAATGTATACACGGGACCTCGGTTTTCGTCCCATCGGAACGACTCGACAACTGTCCTTGTCAGACCCTCCTCCGTCCTGCTGCAACGATTCGTATGGAACGCGCCTTTTGGACTTGGTCCCAACCCCAATCTGATTAAAACACAGATCCTATTTCGTTTCGTTTTTTTATAGTTCAAAATTTCGTTCTACTTTTCTTTACTACACTAGGTTCTGGAAGAGTTGTTATCATTGACGTGTTCTAGGTGGTGTGAGGTATTAGCCAATGAAACGGTCTGTTACGGCGAGCTTTAGGCGTGTTTTGCACGGAACTGTGGGCAATCCACTAGTTACATCAGTGCTGATTGGTTAATCAAATGTCTGACGTCATAGGTCAAAAACCACCCTTATGACGTCTGACATGACCTATCGCTATAACTTGTCAGATCTTCGTGTAGTGTAGGCCATCGAAAGTATAAAAAAACGAAACGAAATATAGATCTGTATTTTAATCTGATTGTCCCAACCCTCGAATCCTGCAAAAATTCCTGGATCCGCCCCTGCATCGTGGCTAATATCATTTCAACCATTAAGTATTGTTTAATGGTCGAGAGCGAGACATTAAGTAATATATTGTAACAACAAGAGGGCCGCATGCCCGAGTGTTTTTACAATATATTACGCAATGTCTTAAGCTCGAGACCATTAAACGACTTAAAATACACACACTCCGCACGTGCTTTTAAAGTGAAATACGTCACGCGAGTCCAATATTTCACTAGTATAAATAATGTACGATTGACAAGTTGCCCGTACGATTATTTGAAATAATGGTACGCCAATATCAAAGTGACGTCACATCTGTATTTTAAAAGCAAATAACTAATGTACCCAGATGCAATGAAAACCCAGCAATTTTATAAATCGGTGATTATAAATCTCCTTTCAGAGATAACATGTAAGAATGTTGTTTTCATGATGGTGTGAGCGCACCACAAAAACGTTGACGACAGCACGGGAGAATGCATACGAAACTTACACTGTCTGTCTACATACTAAACTTACCCTGTCTGTCTACAGTTAGCTCCGCTTGAGAACAGACACTAAGCTAGTTGACAGACATTTTAAGTCCTAAAACGACGATTTTAGTCGAAAACACTAAGTATACTTCGAGAAATTTGAAAAGTATGTATTCTGCTTTCATTAAACAAAATTGAAATGGTTTGTTTAGTGTATAACAGATGTGAACCGGAGTTGGACCGCATTAATGGAAATGGCGGCCATTTAGGGCAGAGATCTATTCTCGAAGTTTGCAGAATGGGGAGAACGATGTTTTACGGTCGATTAATCCCAACACCGATCAATTTTCTCAAACACACACAAAATTATATTCGATAATTGTGACTGTTGAAAAATCACGAATTTATGTTGCAGACATGGGGTATAAAATGTGGGTTTTAAAAAGTTTGGGCCAGTACAGCTCCTACGGGTCAATGGAAGACGCAGCAATATTATAGCCTAACTCACAAGCCGCCGTACGTGCTGCCACGGACAGTCTACGGGGGGAATTTTAGTAAACCCGTGCGTGAGTCTTACACGTCATTTGCGTATGTTCGGTACCGTAGAAGGTCGTAGACTGACCTAGAGACTTTTGGTCCAGCATATACAAAATATCCACCCGGTTTCTTGCGGCTGGTCTGCAAAGCTACCAAACACTGCGAAGCGTGCGTGTAAAAACAAGTACGGTGGTTCGTGAGCTAGGCTCTACACCAATGATTGTCAACCAGTGTGCCGCGAGATTTTCCTAAGTGTGCCGCGAAATTTTGAACTGCACACTGAGAAAATACGAAAAAACACGTGATCCCCATTGAATATTCCATGGTGTCTTTATTTAATTTGAGTCAGTCTCTATGTGTCTGACTATAGTTTCTGTCTACGGTTGTATTCCATCAGACTTACCATGGTTTTTTGGGGGTTGGTTTTTTTTTTTGTGCAAAATTCAAATATTTTTCATATATATTTAGCCAGGTGTGCCGCTATTTTTTTCATGTGTTTCAAGGTGTGCCATTGGCAAAAAAAGTTCAGAACCACTACTCTACGCATTAACACTGAGAACGCACAATTTTAATTCAAGAGGGCATGAGAAACAGCGTCAATGAAAACAATGACTTTGACTGAATCTCTATGCCGATGAATATAGTCAAATGTAACCGGAAGCGGCCCAATAAAAGTTGTTAGAAATATTGACTGTGACGGTATTGACGAGGTTTTATTTTTATTATTTAAATTGCTTGTCGAGTTCCAGTATCCTGTTTTATTGAATTTATGACATCAATAAATCGTATTGATATATGTGATAACAAGACCTCACTATCAATTTTACCATTAATTGAACTGACTGGGTGTTAAATTTACTTGTCAGCAAGAATCGCGGAATTTCAGATCAATTAAACTGGTCCGGTTAAGCCCAGTACTCAGATTTCAGAGGTAATGAGATCTGAATTGACAAGGAAATTATCAATCTGTTTCACATAGAATTACGAAAGTCTTCTAATATCTCTGTAAAAGATGACTGCCTTCAACAAGTGCCGTCACAGCACGCGGCGTCAATCATTGGCTGAATGGCGCGTGCATTGTTTACATAAGACGTTACTGCTTCAGGCACTAAATAGGAAATAATTTTTACCTACAAATACGTCAAACGTCTTTATTTATTTTTCTAATACCTCAAAAAAATGTTTTAGAATTTTTTTTGTCGGTGGAAAAAAGTTAATATTTGCGACTCATTAAGTCGCATTGATGTCATCCTTATCAGTGATTGTAGCGTCCTAGCACATATTCACTGCTGATCAGTGTGGGAAATTGTTTCACGAAATTTTAACTAAGATAAAATCCAAATTTTAGTAATTTGATTGGATAATATTAGATTGATTTTATGCTTAGCCATTCAAAATTGAAGTATCTACTAAAATTTGGATTTTATCTTAGTTATGATTTCGAGAAACAGGGCCCAGGAGCCCAACCGTGTATACACATGAGCTCGCAATTCTTTAAGTTTCGCCGCCTGGCATATTTCTTATCAGAAAGGGGTTTGCTATGGGTGGTTGATTGAGCGGGGAAGACCACCATTCTTGTGAATTTCTTCTAAGCATGCAATGAACTTAAACATACATTATGCCTCTCTTTCTTTAGGCCTGAAATATTATCTAAATTATTATTAGAGATTAACTTATCCAGACCATAATGAAATCATGATGTCATCGCTAGCCTGTGATATTTACTGGATTTGAACCCAATTTGCTGCTCAACGCTCATTGATGATTTAATCCAAAAATGGATAACCGAGACTATATTGTTTTATCGTAGCTACTTTAGTAATGATGATCGAGGCTAGGCCATAAATTCAAAAGCTACCATCTCGGTTCAGAGTGGATCAGTTGGACTTAAATGTTCAGCAAATTCCCTTTGCATTATCTATTTCTTAACGAGAACTGCCAGCACGTATAACAGCAGCCTTTTCATTAGTTGAGATTTAAACTTCCGGTACAAATTTTAGCTCTTGACCAATGAAAGAACAGAATTATTAAATTATTTTAATTTATGTTTTTTTTTAAAAGGCCCCTGTTAACCAAATAATTCTACTGATAAAAATATAAAATAATAATATTTACCTGCTAGTGTATCAATATTTGAACAGACGTATTCCAGACGTTCTCTGATTCTTGAAGGATGTAGCCAACTATCAAATACACCCAGACAACGGATACTCCCACGAAAATTCACCACATCATTCAGACTTCCGCCAATAACAAATCTTGCTGACTCGGTGCTGTCGGACATTTTTACACAAGTGTCGGTCATGAATTGCTCCGTGTCGTCAATAATGATTGACAACCTTTGGGCCATTCCCGAACGTTGTACAGACATTGGGTGCCACGTATTAGGCGATAGAACTTTACTGAATGTAAAATCCGCACATTTTGTACCCAACATTGAGACTTCTACTTTCAATTTCCAATCTAGTAGGGTCAGTTTTATATCCAGTAATGAACTTGAAATGTGCCAGATGGTGCCAGTAGATTTTTCATTTAAATATAGAAAATTTGATATACTGAAATCTTCGTTAAGGGAAGATAACTTTAACGATGTTTCGACCAATGAGAAAACCGAGCCGTCGAACATCATGGCGTTATTAGGAAGTGTGGTGTGGGGTTTGTTGTATCGGAAACAGCATTCCTTATTGACAGGGTCACGTGATGTCATCACATCATACCCATATAAGGTATCATCTAGAGGCCATAGATAAACAGGTGTTTCTTCAAAACAAGTCGGAACTGAAACGAAAAAAAAACATATTTAACCTGATAAGAACAGGTTATTACAGGAATTAGCTCTCGGTACCTTACAAATATTCTTACTCTAAAAACCACTGTCATCCGTCTTATGACGATAGCAGATAGTCCCCAATCTGATTAAAACACAGATCCTATTTCGTTTCGGTTTTTTTTTATAGTTTAAAAAAAAATCATTTTACTATTTCTAGCTGCACTAGGATCTCACGCGAATTTCCATTACAACCGATCAGATCTTCATGTAGTGTAGACCATCGAAAGTAAACGAAATATAGATCTGTGTTTTAATCTCATTGTCCTATCCCTAACCTTGTTTTTTTTGGGGGGTGGGCGTGGGGGAGGGGGGAGGGGGTATTTCTAAACCAGCTGTGTAGCGAGTGGATGGGGTTGTTTTGGGTTTTTTGGTTTTGTTTGGGCGTGGGGGGGGGGGGAGGGGGAAGGGGGTATTGCTAAACCCGCTGTGTAGCGAATGGATGGGGTTCTTTTGGGGTTTTTTGTTTTGTTTGGTTTTTTTGTTGTTTTTTTTTTGGGGGGGGGGGGTAGGTCTTTAGCCTTGCAAACGAATTTATTTTCTGTCAAGACTATATTCGGTCGTTACTACTGATTTTGTGCATTGCGTTTTATCCTTAACCTTATCCTATACTTTAACAGCAACAATGCACATTCAACAAGCATTTGGGTTCGGCACATGCTTTTGTTTAATGATTTATCGTGTGCGCTTGAAATCATAAGTCATTGAGTCAAGTGACGTAGTTTCGATTTCCCTGGTGGAAGCGTTTTCGCCTAGATAGCGATTTTTTACGATATTTCAAGATTCGGGAGATACTGAACAGTGCTAGGGATAAAATCAGAAGTATTTACCTGTTGGTGGTGGAGAAGTCCAGGTGGCGTTACAATACGTTAATACGTCATCCACACGTGAGTTAAATCCTGTTGCAACGTCATACAAAGATAAACACGTCATCATCCCTTTAAATTGATCCTTACCAAACTGTGGATTAGCCAATCTGAGAACACCAGGAACATTTAATACTCTGTTTACCGGACCGGAATCAACATCCACCTGTTGGCCATCTTTATACAGGTAAAGTTTACCGGTGTCGTAGTCATAACTAAAAGCTAGACTAGTCCACATGTTATTAGACATGTAGCTGTCCATTAACACCGTTCCGACACCGTTCATAAAGACAGATAATCTACCGTTCAGAAATCGGACTTGAATATTTGAAATCTCCGAAGATTTGTAAGTATCAGACTTGTAATGCATGATGGCGCATGTTTGGGTCTGGGGATAAACTTGGAGTGTTAGAGCAAACGATTGGTTTATATTGTTGGATTCGGTGATCGATATATCGACATACGAATCGTCACTACTGTCGTCAAAATATAAAGCTCCATACCGCAGACTGGGATGACCGCCATCGTCGTATTTAAAACAACCATCCAGTTGAGGATGGACGGCATCTCTTCCTTGTATGACGTCATATGCAAATGATTGTTTAGTGAGCGGCCATATTGATAGTGGTGCCGGAAATTGTGTTTCCGCTGTAGCATGCCAGAAAACTGAAACATAAAAATAACCATCTATATAAATTAAAATTCATGCCCTGTCCATTTAGAACATAATTCCTGTTATCTTACTGTTTTAAAATTTTATTGTTATCCAGGTCCACATTTACCAAGCCCCCCCCCCCCCCTCCATGTCAGTGGTGTCAGACCTGACAAGGAACAGTGAACGTAAAACACCCACTAAGAGATGGAATTCGGTGACAATTGGGCTAAAACGTCGCTGTCCGGGTAAAATGTTATTATAACGCACCTGATGACGTTTATACGTCTTCGTTATCCCAATTTGTGCAGAAAAGTAAGAAGTTAAATCCAATTTCATGTCAAATATGCAACGAACAAAAGACATTGCGGATATCAATTCGCTTCTTATTAGAATAAAGTAATGTACCTCGCAAGAATTAGGGAACACTGCCTAACCTTGTGCGTACCCCCTCCTAGCAGGCCCCCGACGCCCCCCCCCCCCGAATTTCCATACATACATGCATTTCTATAGCGCCACTTTAACATCAATGTTCAGAGGCGCTTTACAATATAATGCACACAAAGATATGATAAAACAGAGAAATGACGACAGTTAAAATCTGTCAAATATAAAATATTGAATAAATTTGATCTAAAATATACATAAAACAAAAAAAACATTAGGAGCTAGTTAAAAACTTTCTTAAATGTTTGCTTTTAAAAACAGTTAAGGAGACGCTGCAATCTGATTAAAATACAGATCTATTTTTCGTTTCGTTTTTTTTTTATACTTTCGATGGCCTACAAAAATGAAAATGAAATGGGGTTTAACTTCCTACTGTTCTCGATGGCCTACACTACATGAAGATTTGAAAGGTTGTAGTGGAAGGTCGGCTAAAACTATTTGTTTAGGCCAGTTCAATTTTCGTCATGGTCGCTGAGATGTAAACAAGGTTAGGGCACGTGATTGTTGGCGAGATTGTAGGTTAGGGTAAGGGTTAGGGTAAGCATTGGGGCTTGGTGCATGGTTAGGTTTAAGAATTTGGGGGAGAGGATAATAAGTCTCCACATAAGCACTGACCTAGGATGATGAAAATTTGGTTTGTGATATTTCCTAGTTTTATTAAAAATAATGCAATACATATCTTAATATACATGGTTGGTTTCGCTGGGGTTTTTTTTTTGGGGGGGGGGGATTTATTAAGGTTTTCAATGCATCTACTGAAATATATATATATATATATATATATATATATATATATATATATATCTTCTTCTGATGTTTCGGAGATTAAAATAACCTGGGGGCTGTTTCACGAAATTTTAACTAAGATAAAATCCAAATTTTAGTAATTTGATTGGATAATATTAGAGATATTTTAGTGTTTAGCCAATCAAAATTGAAGTATCTACTAAAATTTGGATTTTATCTTTAGTTAAGATTTCGAGAAACAGGGCCCAGTTTTACAAATACTATGGTAACGAATTGTTTAGTCTTAAAAAGTTACTTACCAACACAAAATATAACTGCTTTCATTTTTCTAGATCTATTCGGGGTTTGGTCTGATTAGCTAACAGCGTCACAGTTTGTCCCGTAAGATGAAGTATACAACCTAAGTTGAAACGATGATGCCAAGTTATAGTTATTCTTGTTATCAACAAATTTCGACTCCTGCAAGCACCGCCCAATTCCTGTCATGCACGATTAATTCTGGCTAAAAACGAACTGTCGATACAGGACACGGACACGCCAGTGACGATTAGACCCACGGGATAAAATGTCGTGGAGAAAATTGTACTTCCGGTTGCGTATTGAATATAGTCATAGAATCAGTTCGTCCAGGTACTTTTCTTTGCTTTTGTCAGAACACTGGTAGATGAAATCAAAAATCAGCTATTTGTAATCACGCCTAATTCTGGACCGTAAATCACCACACCAGTCTGACAGTCTACAAATAGGTTAGCTCCAAAGCTTCAAAACCATTGCCCTGGAAATGAAATGGCGTCAGCGCGTCGTCTACACTACTCCGGGCATCTGTCAATTTCCACAAAGAAAATAAAATCCACCAATATTTAGAATACTTTCAGATAATTTAGATTTAAAATCAAGGTTGAAATCAATGATTTTGTGATATTTAGAGATACGTCATACAACCCACAACATCTAAAGAATGTCCAGTAAATCCAAACAATAATATTGTGATACACCTCTTGTAATCTTACACTCCGTAAACACACAACCCCATGGAGTTATATGCCGAGTCTAAGCACGTCTCTTGTCTTCCAAGGATTCCTTAATCAGAAGATTGACCACACCAACCAGCGCTGCAACGCTTCGTATTAATATAAAGTTCTTTCAAATAAGTTGGCGAAGCGGCTCGTTGAAAATTGTATGTCCACACAAGATTTCGAATTTAACTTATCAACATCTTCCAGTCCTGATGTCGTTGACGCTAGTGTAATTTATTTTTAACTTATCGATACCTCCCAGTCCTGATGTCGTAGAAACTTGGGTAATTTATGTTAACTTATAAGAACTGACGGTTGTGATTTTGAACAAGCCGAGAGAAAAAAAAAACTTTGCAAGAAGTGGAGAAGCGGAACTAACTATCACGATCCCATGCCACGTTTCCCCTCCAACTGATGAGAATGATACTTAATGGTCGTTGGTTGTGGAAGATCGACAACTTCCAATTCCTATCTCAGTAAAACGTATGAGAACTCACGGTTCTGATAAATTGAACAAAGCGATATAAGACTTATCCGTCCTTGATTTCGAACAAGAAGAGAAGTTCCCACACCAACTACCGCGATTCAGTAAAACTTTGATTTGAACCAGAATATCGATTATGATGAACAGATCGTGATTGTTGTTTAATTAATAAACTGTCTGATTGATTATAGTTATAAGGGGGTTGGTTGGCCGAATGGTTGGCGCGTGCACGTTGTATCATTAGCGCATGCTATTCGATTTCCTCCCACCGCTAAAGACACATACGCACAAGCGAATTATTGAAATTTAACTGAACCAGATGTTAGTCCCGAAATGACCTAGTTTGTGTCAAGTGGACGTTAACCCCGCCTCTCTCTCTCCCTCTCTGATTATCTTTATAACAACTGTATAATTCATGAAAGAAAGATGTCCGAGAACATTTTGATATATGTACAATAAAGCCTTACACACACGGACAATTTTCTTGGACAATCTGTAAGCGATATGACTTTTAATTTCCGCAATACTGCATGAAAAAATCGTCCGGCATCCGATCTTTTGCCGCTGTCGATCAGTAACCAAGTGCCAAACAAGTTAAATAATTCGAGAACAAAGAATTGCGCATTGGTCTGATATCGTACAGCATCAAGCAATCTCTTGTGGAGTAATTTTTCATTTGACCAATCAGTGCAAGCTAACATATCATGTGATTTTTTACAAAATGGCTGTACTCCATTTACACCACCGTCAAGATCAGGGTCCGAGTTCACAAAGCATTCTCAGATTTAAGTTAAGAATTTACTCAATATTATTCTTCTTATTTTAACTAACATATATCCCCTTTTTAAAACTTTTGTTGTTTTAATGTATCAAATACATCAATAAGAAACTATGAGCAAAGTTTCGGGTTTCTGGATCAGAGATATTTCTCATAAACAGTGATTGAAAGTTGAGTAAATTCTTAACTAAAGTCTGAGAATGCTTAGTGAACTCGGGGCCAGCAGTGATAATGGCTGAACCGTTCCCTTCAAATTGTTTGCAGGCCTGCTGTCGCAATTTCAGCGGCAAAAAGTTCAGCGGCAAAAAGCCCATGTGCACTGAATTCACACCGTGTCCACATTACAACGAATTACCATGGCTTTTAAAATGCTTGTACTCGAACGTGCATCGTCATAATTTTAACAGTATCACTGCTGCGAAACAAATTACCCATGTGTACTAGGCTTTAGACTGATTTCACACTAATTACACAAATTATTAGAGTCTCTAACATATAGATTTGAAATAGCTGAATTAATTAATTTATAAAAGCATCTTTCTGTTGTGTAAAACGCATCATTAAACCCCAGATGATTACTATCTCTATGATCAATTTATGGCAAGGTCTGGGTGTGTTATTACAAGGTATAGGCTTTTATTTAATTAAAGATACATTATGGGAGATAAGATAAAGAGATAGCAGTTCTCGCTATAATAGTTAAAAACTAGATAGTGTAAAGGTAATTCGCTGAAAATTTCAGTCAAATTGATCCATTATGAGCCGAGAAAGAAGCGGGTGAAATTTTTGCATAGTCTCGGTCATCATTACTAAAATCATTAATATAAACAGCATAGTCTCGATTATCCGCTTTTATTGATTTAATTATCAATAGCCGTTAGCGGCATATAGGAATCTAATCCAGCCAACATCGAAGGCTAGCCTTGACATCGAGAGTTTATTATGGTCTGGATAAGTTAATTAATGTCTAATTGATAATTTAGATAACATTTCAGGCCTAAAGAAAGACTTGTAATAAGCAGATTTTGCTCATGCATATTGCATGTTTAAAGATTTATTATGTAAGATTTAAATAAAGAGTTGGCCATTCTTGATATAATAGTTCAAAACAGATTTCGCAAAATAAATATATTGAAAAATTTCATTCAAATTACTTTATTTTGGGCGAAGATATTAACCTTTGAAGTTTTGACAAGATGCGTGCACTGATTGGAACCACCGTCCTGACTGTTTGAGGCTTAGTTTCGTTTCATCATTTTAGATTAAATCATTGAATGGCTAAACCGTTCTAATCTACTTAAAATGGGACCCATCCGATGGCATCGAGACTTGATTATGGTCTTGTCCTTGCGCAAGTGAATATCATCTTTTTCAGATTGCATTGAGGGGGTGGATATCATCTTTAGCAGACGATATTAAGGAGTG